ATATTATAATAAAATTTTCGGAATTTTAAATACGCTTGAAGATTTTTGAATACTTGARATTTTTATAACATTTAAGAACGATGTTGTTACAATACAATACTGTTTTTATAATAGGAATACCGAATACTCTATTTTTACTATTAATTATTCAGCAGATATTTTAAAAGGTGGTGAGCATTTTTACCAAAATGTCAAGTAAATTTTGTTATTTTTATTATGTGGCCCCTTAATAAAACTGATCCATGGGCCTTTGGTGTGCTAGACTGACACTGGATGTATCTTTAAAAGTATATGCTCTCCACAGCTATTTTATTTTAAATAGGCATCAATAGTTTTATGTAATCACATTTGCTTTAGAAAACTTATTATTATTATGTCATTYTTAACAACGAYACATAATATACCAATAGGTAAGCATAATCCTAATTTTTATATGTTTACCATACACTAATAAATACATGGTGTAAAAACGTGTCCAGAAATTTCTGGTTTCGTGTCTGAAAATGATTTCAATTTTTATTTACTTAGCATTTATTCTTGATATCCAGCTTTATAATGTTTAAGTATTATAAATTACTAGTTTTTTTCAAATTTAAGTTAACTTAGCATTTATTTATGATATCACATATTTATAATGCTGAAGTCTAATAGATGACTAGTGTTTTTTTACTYAGCATTTTTTTACACGGAGTTGACGAAGTGTTTTTGTTGGGATTAAATGTTACACGAAGAAATGAAATCAAAACTGGATTATTGGACTAATGTTCTCCATCGAGTTATTGCAACAATTACTTTCTTGGCTGAAAAAGGACTACCATTCCGTGGTAAAAATAATGAATTTGGCTCAGTACATAATGRCAATTATATGGGATGTTTAGAACTTATAGCTAAATTTGATCCTTTTTTGTCGGAACATATTTCTAAATACGGTAACCAAGGGAAAGGCAATGTTTCATATCTATCCTCGATAATATGTGATGAGTTTTTAAGTTTAATGAACAATTTGGTTCTAAGAAAAATTGTTGCTGAAATWATTGAAGCTAAGTACTTTTCAATCATAGTAGATTCTACTCCAGATATCAGTAAACAAGGTCAATTAACTGTTGTGATTCGGTACATAAAACCAAATGGAAATTCTGAAGAAAGATTTTTAACATTTTTA